CTAAGTACCTTGAATACTATGAGATTTATTTCTTAATAAACACACTGCCTTGAGGTTTAAATCTACACATGCTGCTACTTTAAAAATTGGGAGCCCTCCAAAAAAAGGGCAGGTGGAGAGAAAGAGTGAATGAAAGGGCAGCCTCCCATCTGGAACAGAGGATATCCCTTTATGTTGGCTTCAGATTATATGCAGGGTACATATACATATCATTGCTGGCCAGCCAGTCGTAGTAGCAAAATGGCTGCCACTGAGAAGGGAACTTGGCTGGAGGAAAATGTGGGACCAGGAATCCCATAACCCTCTCTGCTAAGAGGGCACGCCTTCCCTTTCAACCCAAGGGACCACTCACCAGCTCCTGCAGTCACAATCACAGACTCCTAGTGGGTTGAGGAGGAGAGGCAAACCAAGCAGGGCAAAAAGTCAGAGCAAGCAGCTCTTGTTGAGGGAGGAAGAATGCTTTTTCCTGAAGCAGCAGCCTCACCAGTAACCTTGGAAGCCACTTGGAGGAGCCTTGATGTGTGGAGCCTCTAGAAATGTTCAATACGCTTTGTATCCTTTTTGCAAAAATACCAGACCTTTTACTCCCCTTTTCTTGCCTTTTTTTTTTTTTTTTTTTTGGCAAAAGCAGGCCAGGCATCTCCTGTACCCATCCACACAGCTGCTTTGTCTTCCTTCCACACATGTATAGCCTTCACAATGGTCATGCCTGGAGAGGGGGAATGAAAAAGCTTAGCGCTATGGGCCTGAGCTCTGCCGGATAGCAAAGCTCCCAGAATGGCCAAAATGCTAGTGTGGAGGATAAGACCGGGGGAACCTGACAGAAGGAACCATGGAGACCCAAAGAAACAATGTTGCTATTGTGTGTTTAGTAAGGGACAGGTAGTAGATGGTGCTGTTTGAGACAGGAAGAATAGTGTGAGTCTGAGGGAAAGTGCTTCCAGGGTGATTGCAGTAAACAAGCAGGTTGGAGGGTAGCACAGAAAAAGTTTGGGACCAAGGCTCTAGGTGAATAACTTTCAGGTGTTCTGGAGGGATTTTTCTTTCTTAGCTTCCCCTTGGACTTTCTCTTTACCAGCCCCTTAATTTTTGAGTCATTTCCTTTTTTGACATCAGGTGTGGCTGTGTTGGACTCTCCTATCAGCTGCCTAGCTTGCATATATGTTAAATCTGATCTGTCTCAAAAGTCCTAAATGACTTTTGGGACTGCATAACACACCTTAAGTTATTGTCACCCAGTGTAGCTAATTAGTGGTAGACACTGGATAAACAAGAGAAATACGTCAGCACACAGTGGATATTGAACACAGAGAATCCACTGGTGGCCACTGCCTGCCGTTGAGCCCTTGATTAGCCCTGATACGTAGTAAGTAGACCTCCCTCCTCCATTTCCTCCCCATTCTGAGGCAGTATGCTCTGAATAACCTCTTGAGGAATGAAAGAGTGGGCAAAATGTGGCTCTTATTCTCTGCTTGTTGGTTGGTTGTTGCCTGAAGTTGAATGTTTGACTGGACATTTGTAATGTCTCTTGGTCGTACTCCAGCAATGTTTGTGAATTCTTGGGAGGCAAATGCCTAACAGGTTCAGGTTCTGAAGGCATTTTGATGTGTTTCTCTGTATAAGATGAACTGTGGTATTGAGCTGCTAAATAAAGGTAGGAAGGTCTGAGGCAGCAAGCATTTTATTTATTTATTTAAAACATTTCTATGCTGCCCCATCGCAACAAAGCCTCGGGGCGGCTCACAACATACATAAAAATACAATCAATAATTTAAAAACCGGTACCATCTCGGCTATCTTTCATCCATGTTTATTTATCCATCAAGATAATTGCTAACTAAGTAATTGTTTAATAATTGTTAAGCAGGCTGGCAGCTTCTCACTGTAGAAACACATTAAATCTGTAGTAATTGTATTGTTATTTGAGTGAATTAACTAATAATACTTGCAGAACCCTATACTAAAGTCAGAGGCCTTTCCTTTTTTCAATATAGGAAAGGGTAAAAGTTGCTGGCAACATCTTTTTTAAAAATAGCAAGTTAAGGTATACTAATGCACCGTATTTTCATGTTTTTGGATGAGAGAGATGCTTTAAATGGCTTTATTTAAAAATGTTGATGAGTACCAGTTGCCTGTGGCTAGGCACTGGGCATCTGCAGGGGGCATTTTATAGATCTCTTTGTCCCTCAGGCTGCCATCTGAGTACTTCTGCTATGTGGTGTTGCCACTTGATTGGAACAGTTTATTTTCATTTAAATGTCATAGTTTAGTGGCAGTTAGAAACTTGGTGATTTTAGGCAGTTTTAAAAGTTCCATGTTTAAAAGTTGTATTTGATGATGACTGCATGGAGTCATAGGTTCTACAAAACCTAAGCCTGCTAACGTGATCCATGACTGGAAACAGAAAAACTCCACATTGATGAAGAGTGAAGCCCTGTTCTGTCACAAGGCTGCAGTGCCATCTGCCTTCAAACTAGGCATCAGAATTAAGCTTCTTGTGTGTGAATGAGATGCTTTTGGTCATGTTTTGTTATCTAGTAGGTTTCTCATGCTGTTAGCACAGGAGATAAAGAAACAAAATAGGAACCAGCTGTCTGTCCTACCCATGATTTCCAAATTCCTACATGATTTTCTGTTAAATTGGTTGAGTTTGCTTCGTCATAAAAAATTCCAAGGAAGATTGCACAATTAGCAATATTAAATATAAGACAGCTAGATATATAGCTCAAGCTCTCTTTTTCCATGCACACATGCATGGACACTAAACATTTTTGCCTGGAAATACTCAGTGCTTTTTTTGTAAGAAAAAAGTGCCGGAACTCATGAAATTATTTACCTTTTGCACGTAGTCAATCACTGTACACACACCCACACACGTCAGTTGTGTAACGAAACATAACAGTTGCTGCCCGCAGTAAGCACTCAGTACACAACCACACAACTAATCACAAGCTGAGCAGCGCCACAAGTGGAGCAGCGCCATCACAACCAGCGCGGACGAAGTACGCATGCATCGGATTTGACACACAAGCAGCCCGCATGCACCGTTTTAATGATTTTGCCACTGACCTGCTACGCTTGACAGGGTGATTCAAATCCACGTGGACCAAACATCAAATTTTCAAAAGTTACTTTTAAAACTTGGAAAATCTGTCAAAAAAAGGTGCCAGAACTCTGTTCTGGTGCGTTCTATGACAAAAAAAAAAAAAAGCACTGGAATACTATTCTCAGTTCTTTGTTCAGTAGAAGCCCTCCTATGCCAAAGTCCTAAACATGTGAGCACACATCTGAATGTCTATAGTGCCATAGCAACCCCTGTGTACATTACAATTAAGCCCTGAAAGGGATCTTGAGGTTAGGTAGGCATAAGCAACTGCTATCATATGTTTTTATCAAGGATTTTGAAAAATACATTCCTCAGCAGCTATTAAGCTGGCCAAAATGAAATAAAAATAAGACCGTTATCAGCCATCCTGTAAGCCGCCCCAAGGCTTCGGCGAATGGGGCGGCCTAGAAATTTTCTAAATAGCTAACTAACTAACAGTGCCTATTGTAGTTAGGAAATCTTGGATTGTTAGCTGTCTCCTTCCCTGCCTTAGTTGCACATGGCCCAAGGGAAGGGCACCATCCAGATTCCATTCCAGGCTGTGCTCACGCTTATCAGTTGAGTAGCACTGTCTTAGACATTTGGACTGGCTTAATAAGAAACTAAAAATTTGCAAGCCAGAAGAGGAAGCCTTTCCTGTACTGTTCCTGCACAATTTTGTTTTTGGCTCTTGTGGAGAAGATTTATATGCTATTAGGTTTGTATTAAAAAAAACATAGGTGGTTCTACTGAATTTATCAACCACTGGAAAAGCTTAGACAACATTTGGAAGGAAAGAAGCTCTTTGTGTCCTCCTGAAGTGCAAGCATGCATTGTATTATTTAAAAAAATGGGGCAAAAGAGTAGGTTTCTCCATTCTTCATGCTACCAGCTGACTTTAATCCGTGAAGGAAGATTCAGAATAAGACAGCACAATTGAAGGGGACAAGAAATAGTAGAGGGGAGCAAAAGCACCCACCAGTGGGTTCTCTGCTAATGCACATACTTAACCTCCATTGCTTAAATGTAATTGTTATACAAAACAGTATATTTGATGGTGTGTGGCATGGAAGAAGTGGAAAAAGCCATCCAGTCTGTTCATATTTGTTTATCAAACTCTGTTTTAACCTGAACTCCCGGTTAACTGAAAGTCGGCCATGTCCCCTGACAGTGGCGTGCACTGTACTTTCATTGCCCCCTTGTTTATTCAGAGGCATCTGAAATCTTCAGGATAATGGAGGCTCCGATAAGTGGGTGAGCATGGCATGAGGCACACTGCTGTCTGGGGACTTGACCAACTTTCACATCAGCCAGGTGCGTCAGTTTCAGCGGAAATCTAAAAAGAGTGTATGGGAGGCTGAAAAGATGCAGCCCCCAGAAAAAAAGTGCAGATAGCCATAACTGGTTTCTCTCTCTCGTACTTCGGTTCATACTACACTTTGTTCAGTTGCATAGCTACCACACTAGGATTATTTTAGTCAATGGTTCCTGATGTTGAGCATAAGAAACCTCAGTGAGGTATAGTGCTGCGATTTTAGTGTTCAGTAACAGGGATGTAATTTTAATTATAACTTTCCATTTGCTGCCTGTTCTTCTGGAATGCTGAACAGCCACTGCTCCTCAATGCCTTCCAGCAAGACAGAGAGCGCATTAGGTTAGGAACCTGCTCCTTTTTCAGAGTGCTTTGCTGATGGAGATCATTTGGAAAGTGATTTTTAAATGATTGGAGCATTACAGGGGCAGCAGGGAGAGAAGCCTGTTTTAGACTCTTGGGCTTCCTCATTGGCATGGATTTACCAGTGATGGTACACTGTTCTGGGCAGATGCCTCAGAGCTCCTGCATTCAGCCCTCCTACCATAAAAGAGTTGCAAAGATGAGATATAAGCTTTTGTTTTCATTTTCAACTCCATGTAGGTACTTGTGTTATCTGAAATCAGACCAACTATGATCAGGTTAACCATGGTTTAGAGAAACAAGCCAACTTCAAACCACAGTATATTTTGGACAAAGTAACTGATGGTCGTTACTTGAAAAGAAGTAAAAGCTTCCAGGCTCCACTGGATGAAAAGCAAGGAGAGGGACCATTTAAGTCTGAAACTTGCCCAGGCTGGTCCCCCTTGCACTTACCAGCTTGTGGGCCTTTAGATGTTTTGATCTACAGCTGCTATGATTCTTCACCGTTGACTCTGCCTACTAGAATGTGTGGCAGCTGCAGGATAAAATAGCTGGAAGGAGACCAGTTGGCCACCCCTGCTCTGAACTGTGGTTTAGCTTTACGTCCTAACACAGCCATGGTGTTCGCACAGGTCAGTAGAGCTTTGCCATCGTCACATTGTATTTCGTTGTGTTCTGAGACTGTTAAATTCTTGTCTGGCATTCACTGGGTTCTTGATGGATCTTGCTGGTTATACCTTACTTACAGGAAGGTCCTTGCTGTAATAAAACCTGCAAAGATGCAAAAATGAGGAAGAGTAAAAAGCAGTGGTACAATGTGCAGTCTTACCACCATCCAGCTGCATTCTAGTATCCCAAGTGCAGATACTCGTTTTTCATTTATTATGCTTTGATCTCCCCTCCACCCAAGGAGAGCAGGTTGATGCACATCTCCTCCCTTTTTACCTTTTTATTCTCTTAGCATATTCTTAGTGAGTTAGCTTTCATGGCTGTGTAGAGATTTGCACCTGGATTTCTTGGGTCATATTCTGACGGTAACCAGCACACCCCACTAGTGGAGATGTAAGGCACATTTGGCTAAGACTTTGGAAATGAACACACAGTCTAGCTCAAATTGGGTTATTTGTTACAGATATCTAGCATACAGCATGTCCACTGGATTCTCTGTGCAAAATCGGCATGTACGTAACCTGTTGTCACAACACATTTCCATAGTGTCCTGGTCAGTCAAGGGACTCCATGGCTCCTCAGCTGTTGTTGGATTAATAATGAACATTGGCCATGCTGGCTAGAACTGATGAGGTTTGTAGTGCAAGGCATCTGGAGGGCCACAAGTTTCCCACTGATAACAATGAACAAATTTGAAAATAACTAGATTCAGTCCTTTAATCTGTTGTCCACTAGATGCAGGGGACAAATGTTATGCCTGTGGGGAAGCCAGTGAGCATAGTAAATGGTTCCCATCCAGATTCTCTCTCAGGGAGCCATGTAGGAGAGACAGACACCTTTCACATCTCCCAGTACTGATCCGCACTCATCAGGTGGCTACAACAGCTCTGTCTATGAGCACCTCTTCAGAAAGGTAGGCATGCTGAGCATGTGCCTAGTTTTTGACCTGTTGGGAACCACAGCCTGCCATTAAAAACAAAGCAAGTTTCTTTTCTTAACAATAAATCCGATTGCTATGAGCGGCTTTAATAAACATCTTAACTAGTTCTCCGCTATAGTGGGTGCATAGCTTGTACTGTAGTTTAAGGAATGCTGGTTGCGCCTCTTTGATAATTGCTTTCACTGTGTGCTTGGCCCTGTAGAAGTGATCCAGATACGGAAATGCCTATTCAGGAAAATGTGCTTGATGAGGTCTGTAAGAAGCCCCATGAGCCTCCGGGCACAGAACTTAGAGGACCTATGTGCTGTCTTTTGTAAATATCTCAAGTGTTACAACACACCATTATTTCCGATAAGCATTTTCCTCTAGACTGTCTTGCACACCAAGTGAGCACATTTGAGGAGGAACTTGATATTTCCAATGCCTTCTAAATCAGTGCTGCTTCAATCACTTTCTTCCCTTTCCTCTTTTCTATTCTTTCCTTTTTCTTTTTAAATTCTAGGATTAAAGAGCCACTTCAAGACAGCATAATAGCTACCTATGAAGAACATGAAGACAGTGTATATGCAGTGGAATGGTCCTCTGCCGACCCATGGCTATTTGCCTCGTTAAGTTATGATGGACGGCTTGTTATTAACAGAGTTCCCAGAGCTCTTAAATACCACATACTGTTATAAATCTGTTTGGATTTTTTGAACATCATTATTATCTCAATATTGGCTGATAATTGGAAGTATTCTGTTCATCAGAGATCTCATAAATGGAATATCAGCCCTTTTCTCTGTAATGTAAATATTTGAAAATTAAACCACTTTATAAAAATTACATTTTTACTGTTTTGTTGTTATGCAGCTGGTGTATATATAGAGAGAGTTTTAAAATCCACACAATTGAGGAGACTGGCAATTCATTCATTTATTTATTTTATTTCTCTGCTGCCCCACAGCTGAAGCTTTCTGGGTGGTTTGCTTTCTTGTACTATGTATCTATCTGCACCCTCAGATCTTTCCCAATGGTTCAGACAGACCTATAGAACATTGTGAATTGGGTCTTTTGGGGCCCAAAAGGAGGAATTGCTCCAAAGTAGGTAATTTTGCAGTGCTCTGGCACAGTTCCCCCTCCCCGCATTTTTTTGGGAAGTTCCTGTTTTTCACTGTAATGAAAACAGTCAGCTACCCCAGAATCTTCTCCATGTGGCCCCCTGAGCATAAACCTCTGCTCAGAGTTCTCTGAACCCCAAATCCCGGGGTCATACACTGGATTATGCACATGACAACCCAAGCGTTGGGGAAATTGGTTTATTTAAAAAGGATCACAAGGTAGGGTGGGGGGTTTAAAATGTTACAACACTCCAGGCACAAACACACACAGGGTGGGAGGAGGAAAGGGAAAGGGAAATTGGAGAGCAGCAAAGACAGTAATTGCAAACCACACAGCCCCAAGACCCCAGGGCCAATTGGCCACCTTGGCCACAAAATAAATCTAGCTGTTCCTAACTCTAACACAGAATACATCACCCAATGTAGCCTTCTCTCCACTAGAATAGCATGACGACCTTTGGCAGAGCCTCCAGCAGCAACAGGGAACCTCTCCTCAGAGGGAAACCTCGTTCTGTCTCAGCTCCCTTCTTTTACCCCTGCTTTGATCAATCAGATACTCATGGGGTGTCATCTCCTGACATATTCCAGGTGAGAATTGTTTGCCCGATCACCCCCACATCTCTGTTGGTGAGTGTGAACTCTCCTGTCCTTAGGTGTAATTTACAGTATCTGGGGACTTTTGCAATTCTAGCCCGGTCTGGCCCTTTCGTGGCCTTGGTGCCTCCCTTTCCTTGAATCCCCACCTGGCCAAGGCAGGTGTCTGGGCAATGTGCTAACTCTTCCTCTGCCAGGAGGCCCCTAGGTGCCTTTTCATTACATTCACCACAGCCCAGGAAGATGCAGGTCACAGTGGTCTTTAGATCTGCCTGACCCTCTGGGGAGGATTTGGGGCAGGGGGTACTGGGCCTGCAGGTGGTGGGAAGGAATAGGAAAAACCTGGTTGCGACGGTGTAGTTTCCCCTCACACAGTGTTAGTTTTCAACCTGAGCTAGTGTCTGCTTATATGGGTAAAGTATAAGTGCAGATAAATGGACTTATCATACCAATGCACTCTTACACCAGAATAATGTATGTCATGTTCAATTAAGCATCCATAGTATATCAACACTCAGGCATGTATTTGTACCAAGTAGTACTTTAAAATCTTTCTGTTTCCAGAACAAATGATAGTCATTGTTGCTACCCACAGGGGATGTTCTATGATGTACTCTAGCTTTTTAACTGACACTGGTGCTACTCACAGGGGGATGATGAGGTGCCTGGTGTTTTACAAAGCACAGGAGTACAGATACCTGCTCTTTGGAGTTTACAACTCAAAATCTGACATGGGAGATAATACAGGAAGGGGAGGGAGATGGAGGCAGAGATAATGTAAACAAGAAGGCCATGCATCTGTTTCCATTGCACATATTTAGTAGCATATAGCAATAGAGTCCAATGCTACATGTCTTTTCAGAATAAAATGGGATAAGTAATTATAGGATTGTAGCCAAAAGGAAGCATGGGAAAGTGTTTTATGGAAAAGGAGGGCATTTGGTGTGTTTTAAACCGTTTCTCTACACATATTAGCTTGCATTTTTATTTTATTATTTTATTAAAACATTTTTATGCCGCCCCATTCGCCGAAGCCTCGGGGCGGCTTACAACATTTTAAGAGTGGAACTGAACTAATGAACTAGAGCAGCTATCCTCAGTTCTTTCTACTAAGCAACCAGCAATGAGCAATGTGTGTGTCAAAGGCATGTTTGATAGTAAGTAAAAATTTAGAAAGCCTGCTCCTGTCTCTCCCCCATTTCTTGGGACGCTTTCCTGTCTCTGTCATCTTAAATTATCCTGTGAAGTGTCAGGTCTCTTTCTGTCTCTGTACACAGTTATAAATAACTACAGCTGCAAATTACATGTACATGGAGCCTAAGTAGATGATGACGATATAAGAATACATTTCTCAGGTTGTTGCTTGCCAGGAGGCGCAGTTTAAGAAAATTCTCAAATTAAATGTATATGATTATGGGACAATAAGGGTTGCATGCGCCAAGCAACAACAATTAAGTACAATCCATTCCTAGTCAAAACTCTTTCCAATTTTGCAGGAAAGTATTCCTTCCAAAGAAGTAAGCACAGCTGCTAACAAAAATCAACAAATGACCTATTTCATTCCTGTAACTCATCACCCCCCTCAGTTAATTTTTCAATAGAAATAAAGCTTTTGTAACATGGAAATGCAAAATAATTTTATGCTGAAATGTAAACATGTTCTTTTGAAGTTTTATTAAGCCCAGAGAAGCATATGGAATGGAAAACGTCCTTAGCCTTCTATATTCCTTTGCTGGATTTTGTAGATTGAAAAACCAAGAACTGACCAAAGCTAGTTAAGTTTGGAGCTTCGTGGGACTTTGGACCTTGGTCATTGCATGGAAGCACCCAACCCTTTCCTGTGCGTGGTGCTGACTTCCTAGGATGTCAAGTGGCAAAGTCTGCCCTGCTGGTATGTGGGTGCAAAAGCCCTTAATATTGAATTGGTCAGAAAATACCCCCAATTTATTCTCACGATTGCACTGCATTTGTGGGAATTTCATGGACCCAGATTGGCCAAACGCCATCATCATGTATATCCCGCCGTTCTTCCATGGGGAAGGCACTGGGCTTTTCAGGTTGTCTGCCATCCAGGTGCTCTGAAGACCAGGATCTCCTGCATCCTGAAAGGTTACTGCATCGAGCTATTTACACGTCCCCGCTGCTGCTCTGCAATCTCATTTTTATTCTTGCTATTATGCCCAGGACTGGCATGTGTAGACACACCTTTCCCCAGCCAAATGCCACCTCATTCCCTCTCTCCCAACACTTTATATATTTTGTGTGTGCTGTGCAGAACAGGAGTGGGAGCTAAAGTTACGGGCAGCAGTGAAGCTTTCCCAGCACAGCCATAGCCGACCTGAGAGACCACCCTCCATTTGTAAGGCAATTGGATCTCTCTTTTTTAGATCTTAAACACAGGGCTATCATTGGCCCAAGACTTGTATATGCATTGGAATCCCCCCCCCGCCCCCCCTATATTTACCAGACCCAAACTGCCCGCAGTAACTCTTGCTTATGGGAACGTGCTTCAGTGATCGTATAACAGGCAGCGTGAGGGCCCAAATAACTTTGGGGGGGAAATGCTGACAGCTGAAGGAAGAGAAGATCAATACAGTCATTCTCCTATAATTCCTGCTGTTGCTATAGTGACTATTTGTGTTCCTGTTTAAAGGGTCAGCCTGCTCCTAACCTCTGCTTGTCTTTACCCAGCAGCTGGATCGAAACACATCTAAACGTGATTTTTCATGTGCGCATGGTGCTGCCAGTACGGGACAATATTGTAATGATGTGGTCGTTTGTAGGGTTGGGGGAAGGGAGCAGGGGAGAGGCATTTTTTAAAAAGCTGGGTTTTACTCTTGGCTGACTAATAACCATGTGCAAATGAACTACAGGTCTAAATATATAATGCCTATTATGCTTTTCTTTTTGCCTGTATTTCAACATTTCCCGTTTCTTCAATAATTAGCATCACCCTGAGGGCTTTTCCTCTGAGGCTGAGTATCTCATCCATTCCAGACACGCTCAAGTTGACACCCTGCCCTGCATGAACTAACTGTGGGAGGTGCTCTTAGGTTCAGCAGTAAAGCTTTGCTGATGAATAATACAGTTTGGAACAGCACTGTTGTTTTTTTTTTTTTAAGTAGGTGAGTTTATTTTTACTTAAGAACCTAAGTTTTACATAATTTATTAGATTCACCTTATGGAAATGACCCATAGCAGTTTATTTCAGTAGGCTCTACATATTGAAAATTCTATAGATAAGTGGGAAAATAGATATATAGGAAAATAGGACTAACACCCTGAGTGTAGTGGAAGCATTGATGGTAGGAAACTGGTGACTATAACACCCTATGAAGGCTCAACTCCCAAAACTTAGGATACCAGCAGATTCTCCACCACGTGGACGGTGGGTTTTAGCAGTCTGTAGTCCAGAAGTCTGTCAAAGCTCTCTGCCAACAGAAGAGGGCTAGATAGCTGAATAGTCCTGTTAGTACAACTGTGCAATTTGAATGGAATGGGAACATGCTGGACCTGATGGCATTGTGTCGGTTCAGCTATGGTACAAAATCATGGTTTGTTTAACCATAGTTTAGTCTCTAAACCAGAATTGGTGGGTCATAGTTACAGGAAGGCCAATTTTGGGGGCTTCTCCCTCTCTCTCTCTCTCTCCCTCTCTCTCTGTGTGTGTGTGTGTGTGTGTGTGTGCGCGTGTGCGCGTGTGTACATTCATGCACACTCCAAGATTGGCAGATGAAAACATTTTAATGCTGAGTTAACCATTTAAACATCATTCTTATTGCCAGTGAGATAAGTATATTGA